ATTAGTATTTGAAATTATCTCTAAGCAATAAAACAATATATGTAATATCTACAGCCATTTGTGCTGGCAATCTCCTTTTTGTGCACTTGAGAATGGGTTACTGCTTGAAATCACTATTTCAGAATGTAACTCTGTACATTATGTGTGACCAGTCTGTGTTGGTTCCCTCTCCTGCTAAACGTATTTCCATTAAGAATAGAAATTATGTTACTGTAGCCGGAGAAACAAGAGTAATATCAGCAATGGCAACAGTTATCACTTTATACCTGTCAGTATATCAAACTCTGTGATAGATGCATTTTTCTAGAATTCTCTAATCTCATCTTTGTTATAATCCTTTGAATGCTATAGTATTGTCACCATTGGACATTCAAGGAATCAAGATAAATCAATTACCTTTGCATAGCTATGACCAAAATACCTGAAATAACAACTTAAAGGGTGGAAAATTTGTTTTGGCTTATGATTTCAGAGGGTTCAACCCATGATTATTTGGCTTCCTGCATTTGGATAGAGCATCATGGTTATAGGAGTGTGTGGTGGGCAAGGTTCTTCACTTCACAGTGGACAGAAGACAGAGGAATAGATAGGTGATAGATAGAAGATGATAGATAGATGAAAGATAGATGATAGATAGAAGCTAGAAAGATAGATAATAGGTAGATAGATGACAGATAGATGATAGACATAAGATAGAAGATAGATGATATATATATAGATGATAGATAGATAGATGATAGATAGATAGATTAGATAGATAGATAGATAAAAGATGATAGATAAGAGCCAGAACTGTGGACAAGATTAGCCTCCAACAACTTACTGAATCCAGCTAGCCCCCACCTCCTAAAGTATCCAGAAACTTCCAAAATAGTGTTGTTATCTGGGAAATAAGAATTTGACACACAAGCCCTTAGGAATTGTTTCATATTTAAGCCATATCACAAAAACTGTGAAGGCTGACTTGCTCCAAATTATTCCCTTAAAAAAGTGACAGATCAAGATCCAATGGAGCTCTGATTGGTCTCAAAGACCCACTTGCTCAGTTCCCTTTTCCAGCCTCGTATCTAGAAATGTCAAGCTTAAATTCTAAAACTGACAAAGGGTGGGAAATGCCATTTTATTTTGATCTAATTTCATAATATTATATGTACTATATTCCCCATTTGAATTAAAGGAGATAAAGTTTATGCAAAAGCCAGACTATGTACCTGTGAAAAAAATAGTATGTGAATTGTTTTCAATAAGATGTATTGATTGTATTTGGCAGAAACATTAGTGAAAAAATTACCTAAGCTAAAAGCTAATTGATGGCAAAAGATAAAATCCATTGACTAGGGAAAGACATTGTTTCTTTGATCTTCTCATGGCCTTATTTTTTAATCCTTCCCCACTGGGTCTTACTAGTTTCAAGGATGGTATGCGCTAACCTGACCCGAATAGCACCTATTCCTACCACGCTATATTGCTCCTTCCAATAATAATAGCATCTTAACAGATGGAGGTGATAATAAAACACTCCTTTACAATACAAAAGACAGTGTTATTTTGTTTCTGTAAACATTATGTAGTACGTTTTTGAGGCAGGTTCTCACTATGTAGCCCAATACTGAAGCTAGCCTCAAATTTGTGATCCTCTTGTCCCAGCTTCCTAAGTGATGAGATTACATGTACCACCATGCCTGATTACAGATTAATTATTATACTAGAGGTTTATTTTGGTCACAAGTGTGATGTATTTTATGTTCCACAGAATACTGTGTAATAATATATTAATATTTTTCATATGACAGAGCTTCAGTAATTTAGGATTCTACCTACGTTCATACACAGAGTAGATGGCAAAAAGAGATTTGAAACTAAGACTAGCTGTTGCGTAAAATACTAATGTGTTAAATGTGAAGGTCTTAAGGCCCCTCTGCTTGCCCATATTTTAAGGTTTTGCTAATGAAATATCAGATAGGAGACACGTGAAAGGAGACCATTCCTATTCTTAGTGTGTTGCATTTATCTCAAGACTCTTATTGTACTTTAAGTGGAATGACAGATGGCCATCAGAATAAACTCCAGGGGAGGAACAGCATGCCACTGCACCATCCAGGCTCAGTGCAAAGGCTCAACAAGTCCTAGTTCTCCTGACCCTGGCATATGGGAACGGTATGTCTCAGTGCTGACTTGCCAGTCTGTCTCAATGCCAGGAAACCTGAATCTGCATCCCAGAAGATGTTTGGAAGCATTGCAAACAAATGTCAGAGCAGACATTATACCTCCCCTCATCTCGCTAATGTACATTTTCAGGTCAAGAGGGTGATGCTGGAAAAGATTAATCCCTTGGTAAGTATTATCCATCAGAATGCTTTTAAATGTTGGCATATAAGCAGCTAATAGATTATATACCATAAACACAGCTGTTGGAGGAAAAACTGCATTCCACAAGTTGTACAATTAAAATCTCTCATCTCCACAAGTACTAAAATCAGAGAATGGGAAGGAATAAGAAAGAGAAAGATAGATGCTGCTTTCTCGGAAAGGGTTACTCGTTTCTTCAATGGTATGTTTCTTTAATTCATGTTGGAAATAAGGATATTCTCACTAAACCTTGGATTCTTGAACTCTAGAAAGCTCTATCTCTTAATAAATGACCTGGGGAAAGAAGAATATGGGCTAGGCAAAGAAAAAGAAATTTTTATCTCAAAATTTCTCCATCAAAATACAACAACTGACTATGGTGACACACGGATTATTTGTCATCAGAGTACTCAGGAGGCAGAAGCAGGATGATCAGGATTCAAAGTCATCAATCTACATAGCAAGTTCAAGGTCAGCCTTTCAACATGAGATCCTCTATCAAAGAAAGAAGGAAGGATTGTGTGTTCATTTGTTTGAATATACACGTTAACCCAGATAACAAAATCAATGTCCACACTGTATTATGGACATATGTATTGTCATATGTACTGGATATAAATATTAGTGTTATTAATCTATTGCAGAGATATAAAATCACTTAAAATATGTAATAAATATTAGTATTATTAATCTATTACAGAGAAATAAAATTACTTAAAACTTTAGGATGCCTCTAATGATTTTTTTCGTATTTATACATATAAACAGTTTCCCTAAAACTTTCAAAGGTAAAGCATGTACTTTGAGTAGAATTCTGCATTTAATATCTGAATGTTATTTTCTTGTATACATCATAATTTATAATACAAGTTCTGTGTTTTTATATATTTCTGGTGTTTTCAAATTTATTAACAAGCATAATTTTTACATGGAAATATATAGGTACATCTCTTACTATTTAAGATACAGTATAGAATATAATTCCTGGGCAAAACATAGTTTTGAACCCTATTTATTCATAATCTAATTAATAATGAAAATAGTTTTAGAATCATTATTGATGGACATATGCTAGGATTTCAAATACTTGAAAGTACAAAAATTAAATTAAAAGTTACTTTAAACTGTATCACTACTCTGTGCTAAACATTAGGATTTTTTTCAATGTCTTCTAAGCTTCAGCTGGCTGGACTTGCTGAAGTGTGTGTGGAGGGTGCACTTGGGAGCACACTGCATTTTAACTTTTCTCTTTTCACTCCCCAATTTGCCATGATGATCTTTCCACATCGAACAGAGATGCACCAACTGTTTAAAGATGAAAGCATTCCATTTCAAGGGTGGAGGATTATTTAGCCAATTTCATGTAATGACAGCTTGATTCATTTCTATTATAAATACTGATGCATAACACACAAAGGAACAATTTTGATTATTTGACCATTCATATCTTTGGATTAAACTCTTCACTGACTAATCGAGCCAAAGAATGTGTGTGTATTTATTGAGTTGAATAATACGTACCAAACATTTATATACTATCTACGTTTATATTTTACTTCATTGGATTCCTCCTGTATTAAAGTGTCATTTGCAAAATTACTAATGTGTCAAAATTTATTAGTTTGAAGAATAAGAACACGAGAATTGTTAGTCTTCTACAATTGTTGGAGTTTGTATAATGATAAAAAATTCTTCATTTCAAGAGTAAAACATTTTCTCACCGGTATTTCCTTCAATACTTTCTTAAAAATTAAACGCTGATAAAGCCATAGTGAAATTCCTTATTAAGAGTGAAGCATATATCCAATTCAATTTTTCTTTCTTTAATTGAATTTGTGTGTTTCATGCAATATATTTTCATCATATTTATATCTCCTTCTCTACCTGTGCCTCCTTACTACCTGTCCACGGAACTGGAATCTTTTCATGTGTGTAGTAATGAGAGGTCTCTAGAGGAATCAAGATATATATATATATATATATATATATATCCTTCAGTGAGGATCTACCCACTAGAGCCTGGTTAACTTACCAAGAGTCTCACCCTTAAACGAGATTGACTTTCCCTCTCCTAGCAGCCATTAGTTACCAATAGTTCCTCAGGCAGGGTTGGGGTTTTTAACCACTTCACTACTTGTATGCTGGGATTTTGTCTGGCTTGAGCTTAGGTGGGACTTGTGAATGCTGTGAGTTCATATGTGCAACTTCCTGGCTACCTGAAAAACTTTGTCTCCTTATGATCCCCTTCCATCTCTGGTTCTTAGAATCTTCCTGTCCCATCCTCCCCAATGGTCCCTGATCCTTCAGAGGCAGAAGTTTGTTATAAGTGTTACAGGCTTATTCAGAGATAAGTCCTCTGTAAACTCTAATTCTCTGCATCCTGGTCAGTTGTTTTCTGTGTTAATCAGCATCTGCTTCATGAGAAAGCTCTCTGGTGAGAGTTAAGAGATGCGTTCATCTGTGGGTGTAACAATCAATCATTGAGAGTCAGCTTAGTACTGTATTTATTTAGCAGAATAGTATTATTAGGCTCTCCCTTATGTTCTGTGACCTGTCTAGGCTTAGTATTAATGCCAGGCATGGGATCCATTACATGAAGCAGACCTTAAATCCACCTAGAAAGTAGTTGGTTACTCCCATAATATTCATACCTCAAATGCACGAGTGGGCATATTTGCAAGGCCAGTTGTTGTAGCTCTCAGGACTCACAGTTGGGAAAGGCTGATGATTAATTTTCTCTTCAGGTAGCATACATAGCATCTTTCACCACTATGAAACTAGCCAGTAGAGGTGAGGCTTTGAAGTCAGCACCAGCTTGATTTCTCCTTGTTTGCTCTACAGCCCATGCATTTAGTGTCTTCAGCAATAGGGTCTTACTGTCGAGTTTTTGTGGGGAACCAAGAGCAGAGGCAATATCCAGTATTGTTTGTGGGTTCATGAGATCCCTGGTCAATAGCTTCAAAAGAAGGAGTTGATTTCTGTCACTGGGCTTTCACTTGGCTAGCCTATGGTTTCTAGTAGAGGCAAATCCCCCTGTTTTTCAGGTAGATATATGGAACTGGAAGCAATCATCCTGAATGAAGTAACGAGACCTAGAAGGACAAAGATTATGTGATCTCTCTTATACCCAGATGCTACCTTTGAAATCTTAGACATGCATGTTTTGTTTGGAAAACCCAGAGAGCTTGTTTGGAGGTTCTAGCAGGGGAGTGCAGCTACTCATAGACTCCTGACCAAAGACTGGAACTTCTCTATCAGGAAAGGTTGTCCTCTTTGACCAAACAGGCAGCTTAGGGAAGGGGACATCTGCCTAGCCAACCAAATCAACCCAGGCAATCAATAGGGTGACAATGTCACAGTGAGATGCCCCTCATATCCAGAGACGTCAGAAAACTAACAAAGGGCCACAGAATTGGGGACTTCATGGAAGGAGAAGTAGAATGCAGTGATATAAAAAGATAAGGTAAATAATACTGTAGGAAGGATTAAGTGGGGTGGGGAATGGGAGGGCAGAACAGAGGTGGAAGTATGGGGAAGGATAAGTAACACTAATGGCCTTCAGGAAAAGCCATATGGAAACCTATCAGAATGGATGATTCTTAAAGTATATACACATACATTATAAAAAGAGATTAAAGGATGGGGCTGGAGAGATGGCTCAGTGGTTAAGAATACTGGCTGCTCTTGCAGAAGACACTGGTTAGTAATCCCAGTAGCCACATGGCAGCTAACAACTGTCTGTAACTCCAATTCCAGGGGATCCAACAGCCTCTTCTGTCCTCCGTGGGCATTGCATGACATGGGTGCATGTACCTACATGCAGGCAATACACGTATACACATAAAATAAAAATAATAAATAAAATATTAAAAAAAGAGATTAAAGGGTGTTACCTTAAACTATTTTTATTTTACATGTATGAATGTTTTGCCTGCATGTATGTAGTATATCTGTACATGCAATGCCCTCAGAAGTCAGAATAGTGCATTAGATCCTCTGGATCTGGAGTTAAAGACAATATTAGCTGCTATGTGGGTGCTAGGAACAAAATCTGGGCCTCTGAAAGAACAGCCAGTGCTTCTAACTGCTGAGCTGTCTCTCCTGCCCACAATTTATTTTTTATAATAGTATTTTATTTATTCTTTGGAGATTTCATACATGTGTACAGTGTATTTTGGTGATGTTCCTTGCCCCACTACCTTTTTTCAGCATCCCCAGGATCCTTCAACATGCCTTTCTATCAATTTCATGTCCTCTTTATTTTTTTTAGTTGATAATCCACTAAATTCAGTTAGTACTGCTCACATGTGGGTAGGTGTGGCAACATCCTCTGGGGCATGGACAGCCTACCAGCAGCCATAGCTTAGAGAAAAGTGAATCTCCCTCCCTCGTCAGTCATCAGTTCTCAGCAGCTCCTCAGGTAGGTATGGAGACCCAAGAGACCCTCTCTATCCATGCTAAAATATTTTGACTGGTTTAATCTTATACAGGTCTTGTGCAGGGAACTGCAGCTGCTGTGAGTTCATGTGTGCAATGGCCATGTCATGTCTAGAAGACAGTATTTAATAGCTTACCTACTCACTCTTTGGACCTTATGTTCTTTCCACCTCCTCTTTCAAAATATTCTTTGAGTGATGGGGTGAGGGAGGTTAATATAGATAGATAGATAGATAGATAGATAGATAGATAGATAGATAGATGACCATTCAGAGTCACTTATTTTCAGCTCTCTCACCAGTTACGATTTCTGAATTAACAAATATCCACTGAAAAAAGAAGGTCCTCTGACCAAGGTTGAGAGTAATGTAAGCCTATGGGATAAACATAAATATTTAGAAGACAGTTTAACAATGTGGCCATTTAGCAAAAGAAAATTTTCCCCTTAGAGCCTATAACCTCTCAGATATGGGATTTTGAACAGGTTATTTCTAGGCATGAAATCCCTCCTGTACTGCAGACCTCAAATGTAATCATAAACTGATGGGTTACTCTATAATCTTTGTGCCACGATTACACTAGTGGGTACAGCTTGCCTGGCAGGTTGGTATTGTACTGTGCAGGGTCCAGGTCTCCCAGCAATCTGCATAGTACTTACTGGCACTATGACAGCTAGCAAACAGGTGGAGTGTTTTCTGGCAAGTTAGAGATTGATTTCTGTATATCCTACAACCAATGATCGTTGTCTCTTCAGCAATAGGACCTTACCATCTACTTATGATGGGCAACTAAGAACCATGGCTATAGCATGTGTGGTTTGGGGTGCTTCTGGGGTCACTATGATCAGTGACACATAGGGAGGTATCCAGTGCCTGGCACTGAAGTTTTCATTAAATAACCCATATCTTCTGGAAGCAGCTTCCACCCATGTAGGATACCTCTGTTCAAACTGCTTAAAATTATATTTGTTAATTAGCTAATTAGTTTAAAAATTAGCAGGTTTCTGTGCTGGATAGCTTTAGTTGTCAACTTGACAAACCTGAATTGAGAGAGCTTCAACTGGGGAATTGCTTCCATTGGACTGGCCTGTGGTCATGTCTGTGGGGCATTTTCTTCATGTGGAGGGTCCAACCTACTCTGGGTGGTGCCACCCCTGGGAAGGTGGTCCTGCACTGTATAAGAAAGCAGGTTGAGCAAGGGCCAGGGGAGCAAGTCAGTAAACATCATTGTTCTATGGCCTGTGCTCAGCTCCTGCCTCCAGGCTCCTGCCCTGAGTTCCTACCTTGGGCTCCCTGATGAACTGTAACCCAGAAGATATAAGCCAGATAAACCCTTTCCTCTCCAGGTTTGTATTGGCTAGAGTGTTTTGTCACAGTAATTAAAAGCAAAATAGTTTCCATTAGACTTCTTCATATATGCTTAGTTTGGTTGACCAACCGCCTATGCCCTCCTCCAATTTACTTTTCCAATGGGCTAGCTAGTTACTATACTGTTTACTCTTAGTGTGTCAAGTGTATGAGTTTCCCATGACTACTATAACAAAGACTCACAAACTGGCTTGCTTCAACAAAAGAAATGTATAGCTTCACAGCCTTGAAGGCTTGCAGTGTAAGACCAAGGTGGGCACAGTTCATTTCTTCTGAAGGTTGTAAGGAAATTCTCTTCTCTGTCACTTATGATCTTCTTTGGAGACTTTCAGACAATTTTCAGTGGTTTTTTTTGTGTGTGTGTGTAGAAGCTTTACCTCAATTGTCTTAGGTCATATATATTTCTCCAGTCAGTCTCTAAAACTAGCAGCTGGGAATTCCTAAATCACAGGTTCTGTCAGGTTCAGAACATAGCTAAGGATGCCCTCTGTTTCCAAGAGCATCTCTTGAGCACTGTGCTTTCCAGATGAGAACATTGTGTCCTTACATGGCAGAAAAGTACACAAAGGGATGCAACTTTCTCTTTAATATTTTATAAGGGTACCTAATCCCAATCATAAAAGAGGAACCCCTATGATTCAATCACTTCTCAAAGACTACACCTTCTGATACCTTTGGATTGTCTAATAAATGTCAGCATGAAAACATTCCAACCACTCAACAATTCCAGCTCTCATCTTCACAGGGCATCCCTGTGTGTGCATGTCTGTGTTCCAATGAACCCTTCTTAATAGGACATCTGCTCAATTATATTAGAGGCCCACTAACTGGGAAACCCTCTACATAGACCAGGCTGGCCTTGATCACACAAAGATCACCTGCCTCTGTCCCCCTAGTGCTGGGGTTAAAGATTTGTATCACCACACCAGGATGTACTGTGATGGTTTGAAACAGTTTTCCTGGTACTTCTCAGAGATATTTCCTTAGCACACAAGGTGGTGAATTTGGAAGGGTGAGGACCAAAAGTGCCGAGATTAGTGGCTTTCAAATCAAACTACATTCGAATCACCATAAAAATAAATTTAAGTATATCATTGCTCAGGTCTTACTGGTAAAACCGGTAAACCAGTAAAATCATGGTGATTCAGGGTCTGAGTTAGGTATTGAAAATTATCTTCAATCCTTGTTCCACCATCTAACAATGGTATTTTTGAGCCAGTTGCATAACTTCTGTATAAAAGACTCTTGTTTTGTTTAAATCTTTAATGGGACTAGTAATGAATACAGCATTGGAGTTTTGGGACTTTAAACGAGGTAAAGTACATAAAACGTAAGGCCTGGTGTATAATGAATATTTGATAATAATAGCTAACATTTATGTAACATTTACTATGTATGTGAAACTGTACTAAGCACTTTCCATGAATAAAACAGCCATTATATTTTTATCTTATTTTTCCAATGACAGATTGGTGCTCTGCATTATAAAGCAAATGTTCCCAGAACAGAGCTTGGGTGTCGTTCTTGGGACCAGCACCCTCAGTACTATTGTAGCTAGTAGCTATTCTTATGAGCTAATATTACTGGATGACTTCAGTCATACTGCCATATTAAATACCATAGACTGAGTGGACTAAATAACAAATAGTCCTCATTGTTCTGTAGACTGGAAATCTGGGATCAGAATGTCATCATGGTCCTGGGGAAAGGGTCCAAACTCCTGCTATTTTCTAAATATGTTCCCCAGATTTTGTGTATTGGAAACTTGATTTGATCTGTGCTGTGGCATTGTAGGGAGGTGGAGTGTTTTGATGCTAGATCACAGGACTCCATTCTCAAGTATAAGTTGAGCGTTCGGGAGTGGGTTTGCCTTCTGTCATCAACGAGCACAGCGTCTTTCCCTCTCTTGAATTTCCACCATCTGCTATGTAAAAATGAAACAAAAAGTTTCTGATTCGATGCCGGGACCTTGATCCTGGACTATGAAGCATCCAGAAATGTGAGAGATTCATGGTTTTTATAAAGTATCCAGAGCTGGAATGGAGCTCAGTGGCAAAGCATTTGCCTAGCATGCACAAGCCCTGAACAAGTTTGATTGCCAGCATTGTGTACGTGAATTGTGATAGCACTTGACTGTAATCCTAACACTTGGGAAGGGAAGGCAGGAGAATAATCCTTGCCTATAAAGTGAGTTCAAAGGCAACCTGAGGTAGAGACTGTCTCAAACAAATCAACAAGAAGCCTAGAGTTAGATCATGTTCCATCAGCACAAGTGGAGTAAGACACCC